CAAATATATATATATTTTCGTAAGAAAATTAAAATTAAAATAATACTAAGCTAATTATAAGATATAAAAAAAGCGTATTAAATATTAAGCTTATTTTTTTCTTAATTATCTTTAATTTCAGTAAATATTTCTATATAATTTATTAGATCTTATATAATAGATTTATTTGAAAGAAGTAAATTTAATTAATCTAGAAAGTTTTATAATTATAATTAAACTTTTATTTAATATAATAAGTAAAATACTAATAATAGTTCAAGTGCCTTAAATTTTACTTGCAAAGCTAAAAATATTATTATTTATTAATTCTTTATATTTAATAAGAAAGAGAGTAATATATTTATATCTTTTATATATTTATTATTATAAAGTAATATTTATATAATTTATAAGATTAATTATAGCCTTTTTTATTTGAGAAAAAAATAATAAAATTAAAGAAAAATCTAATAGCCTATTATTATTATTATTACTACTATTAGAATTAGCTTTAGTAATACTTTTTATAGTATTTTTTATATTATTTTATAACTTTTAGAAATTAGTAAATCTAGAAGAATTCTGGTATATATAAATTAATTAAATTTAAAAATAAAAAGAATTTATAAAAAAATAAAGAATAAGAGCTAGAATTAAAAAAAGGAATTATATATATATTTTTAATTACTTACTAATATATTAGATCCCTTCTTGTTTTTAAAGTCTTATATTTATATTAGTAAATAGTACTTTTCTGGGCTTTCTAAGCCTCTTTAATTTATTATTTAATCTCTTTAAGTTATTATATTTTTTTAAGTATTTTCTAGCTTTTTATAAGTAATTTCAAAATAAAAATCTTTATATAAAGTCTTATTCAAGTATAAAATAAGAAATTTTTTTTAAATATTTTCAGAGTTTAAATATATATTATAACGAGAAAAATTAAAGATAATTTAAATAAAATTTAGTAAGATTATAAGTTTCTGGGCTCTTTTATTATTAGAACTAGTATTTTATACTAGTTTATTTATATTATTAATAAATTAATAATAGCGGATAAGTTTACTAATATAAAGAAAGAAATAAAGAAATAATTACTAAGAAATTATATTAGAAATGTTACCCCCTGTTCGTTAATACGAGCGATTAGTTAATTGGACCTAAGCAAGGAGCCCGATTCGCTAATAAAAGAGCCCGATTTTAAAATAATTTATAACTTTTTAATAAAGGATAAAGGCCAAAGTTTAATTAAATAAAAAGGATTAATACTTATAAGAGACTTAAATAATTTTTTCTTAGATTAAATTCTATTAAAGATTAAAAGATATATATAATTTTATATTTTGAAATTAAAATTATAATAAAAAGGGTTTAGAGTTCTAATAAAAGGCTAAAGCTAATATTATTTAATTAATATAATTAACTTAACTATTTCTAATAATTTGCATTAATAGGATTTTAATAATTTATGGGGTTTAAAATATTTTAGTATTTTAAAAATTTGCTCGTATTCGATCTCGTATTTATAAACCGGAGTTCGCTTAAGCAAGTGATTAAGCAATCGGGGCCCGCGATTGGGCAATGGGGACCCCGATTGACTAATCACTCGTATTAACGAATAGGGGGGAACAGAAAGAATAAAAAAAACTCGATTACTTATTTTAAATTAAAAGCCATTTATTAAAAAATATTTATTAGAATTTATATAAAAAATTTAATAAAAGAAATAAAAGAAAACTTATTATTAATTTCTTTAAAAAATTAAAAGATTCTTTATTTAACTCTTTAATTCTTTATATTATTAAATACCTACTTATAAAAAACTAGTTATAAAACTATAATTTATAATTTTATAAAACTAGATCCGGCTATATTTTAATTTATAAGACTTTAAAGGGCTCTAAATAATTTATTACTAGTATAAGAAGCTATAGCCTAAAGAGTAGCCTAAATAACTCTTGCATTTATAGCCTGTTAAGCTTATATAATAATATAAATATTATTAGAAAAGTAATTAAATTAAATAATATAGCTTATAATAAAAAGAAATATAAAAGAAAGTAATTATAAAGCTATTAAAATAAAAGAAGCCTAAAGCAAAATATAAATTATATTTAGTAACTATATAATAATAGTAATAAATACAATAAATATAATAAATATTTCTAAAAGAAAAAATATAAAATAAAAATATTAAAAAGAGCTAAAAATCTAAAATATTTCAAATATAAAAAAAATAAAAATAAATACAAACGAAATTTCAGAGCTATAAGGTTTAAGCTTACTAGTATTATTACTTTAGGCAAATAAAGCTATAGCCTTTATATTATATTTATTATTAGTAAATTAATAAAACTAGTAATATTAGATATTATTATACTAGTATTTAATTATAAGGCATATATTATTAGAGCAAGTTTTAGGAAATAATAATATTATTTTAAAAAGAAATAAGAATTTAAGAATATAAAATATTTATATAATAAAAGAATTTAATAATTCTATTAATACTACTTTTAAAAGTAAGAAAGGAATTTTAAAAATAATATATTTAATAATAAATAATATTTATATTAATATATCTAGTTATTTTATAATTAGCTTATATAATTACCTTATATTATTAAAAGTATTACTAATAAAGAGCCATTTCTAAATAAAGTTTTAAATTATTAAGAATTATATAAGTATTTTTCCGGCTTATATATTATTTATATATTTTATATTTATTAAAATAATTTACCTGAGAACTTTATTTTATATAATAATAATATTATATTTACTAATTAATTTCTCGAATTCTTTTAATATTAATAGCTACCCTAAAGCTATATATATTCGGACTATATATTAAAGTTAGTAATAAGCTTAAATATATAATTAATTACTATTTTTATTAATATCTCTTATATAAATATTAGCTATATTTATATTATAAAATATAAGCTTTTAATAATATTATTTTAGTATTTCTCTTAATAGAAACTTATTAATATTTATATTAGTATATAAGTAAACTATTTATATAAAGCTATATAAAGTTATATTATTTATTTTAAACTAAATAATTATTAAGAATTATATTATAAAGCAATTCTAGTATTATATCTTATTTAAAGGCCCTATATATAGTTTAAATAGCTTACTAGCTATTATATTAGACTTAAATTTGTTTTTTCTAATTTTATAAATATTTTATAAGTTTATAAACTTATATATCTTATTCTGAATTCGTTATATATAAAGTACTAGTAAAATAATCCGGTCTTATAAATATTGGTAATTATAACTTCTAATATAGGCCAATTTCTGAAAATAATTCTATATATATTAATTAAAATTAGTTATATAATTCGGTATTATAATACTAAATCTAATAGCCTTAATAAAAAGTAATATAATTATTAATACTCGATACTTCCTTTTAATAATAAAAAGAATAAGAGGCAAATATAGGGAAACGAAATTACTTATATATTACTAGTATAACTAATTCTTTTAAAGCTTTTATTACTAGAATTCAATCTGCTAATTCTTAGTACTTTTTCCAGAAATAAAGTAATTCTTTATATATATAACTAATAAATTAGCTATTCGCAAGAATATAAAGTGCGCTTTAATAATAAAAAGAAGTTTAGAGCCTTAATTAGCTTTAAAGAAATAAGGGCAATAGCTTATTTAAGTATAAATCTAAAGATATTATTATATAATTAAATAAGTAATCTCATTAAAGATTTTAATAATACTATATAAATAAATATAAATATAAATATATATCTCGATCTCAAATAATAATAGCTTATTATATTTATTAATTAACTAAATCTAATTTAGTACAAATATAATATATTCTCTTTTCTTAAATTATATTTATTGCATTTATAATATAATTGCCTCGAGATTAAGAAGTTATAATATTATATATAAGCTCTTTTTATAAATAATAAAATATATTAATAAATAAGGCTCTAATTTTCTAAACTAGAGCAAAACTATAAAGTATAAAAAGACTAATTAAATTACTAGTAAACCTTATTAACGGAAATATATATATAAATACTACCGTTTATAATTTGTAATTCGCTTATTATTTAGCTTACTTTATAGTATTACAAATAATTATTTGTTTGCTACTTGCTTGTCTATTATAATTATATAATAAATAAAACCAAGTTTTATATATATATAAATAACTTTAGTAATTAAAGCTATATAGCCGCAATTCTTAAGATTCTTTAGTATTTCCTTATTTATATTTTTTAAATAATATAGAATTGCAATCTATATATAAAGAAAAGGCATACTTGCTATTTAAATATATCTTTAAATGTTTTATTCTTATAATTACTATTAAATCATACCTGAATTAACTGAGATTTTATATAAATCTCTTAATTTATTTGCAATTTCTTTTTAATTAATATTTATACGAGTTCATTTAATAATAGCTTTATAATATAATAATAGATTTATAAAAAGTTATAGTTTTATTTTAATAAAATTCATTAAGTTATTTAATAGAAATTAAGTTCAGGGCACGCTTTATTATTACAATATACTTTTTAGTAATATAAGTACTAAATTACTCGAGTAACCGTACTCCCACGTGATTTTATTAATTAATTACCAAAAAAAAAGTAATTAGCTGGCTTCTTAGTTAGTTTAATAGTTTAATTTTCTTATTTCTAATCTCGGAAATATTAAGGAAATTATTAGATCCTATTAATTATATTATTCTAGAAGGGCTTATAGCCTGTAATTACCTGACCACAGTAATTTGTAATAAATACTCAATTTTATATTATACTACCCGGCCCAATTTTGGTGCGATTTTACGCGGTAGTATGGGTTCTCACTTCGTTAATTAGACAAGCAATCAGCCTTACTATTGTTGTGTTATCCAAGCCGAAAGTCACGTGTGGGTGCTATACCCTCTAATTAGGAATTCTGCCTTGGGAGGTGCGGGGCGCCAGTGCGAAAATCAAAAAATCAGAAAATCACTTTTCGCTTCTCGGATTTGTTCGCTAGCTAGCTGTGGGCCTCAGTAGGTTGGGGGGTATGGGCGGTTGGCCAGTGGATTCTTCTAGCTGGCACTGACTAAATACGCGCCCGAGTATATAGTTTGATTCTACTGCCCATTGGAAAAGCTACCTGCTGGCCAGGTTGCTTGACAATGTCGCACGTCGATCCCCTTATACTGGCCTGTAAACAAGCTCATAAAGCCCGCGAATCTCTTCCCTCAGTTCTCCAATCCCTACCCTATCTAGCGGACCTTCCCCGCTTGCTGCCCGTCTCAGCACGAGATCGAGGAGCGCGGGGGGGATCGCATTGTTGTGAGACCTCAAGTTGGGCTCGCATCTCTCGCAGCCAGAATCGTCCTCGCAGTCATCTGGGTAGCCGAGCAAGCGTCCAATCCTCTCTATCAGCCGAATCACAGCCTGGGTGAGAACGATGATCTGCAAATTTGGGTCCTGTGGTATCGACACCTCGTCCGTATGAAGGAACGAGATTGAGAAGAGGGTGATCGGGCAATGTGTGGCGAGCAACGCGGCCCGGATGGCGGCGAAGGCGTCTCGACAAAAGTAGATGAGATTGGCGTGGCAGGAAAGCAGCAGAAGACTCGTGGGCATGTCAAGAAGGGCACTGGCACCGTGAGACGGGTCATGAACCACGGTTAGCTCGGAACTGCCGTCGGACTGGCTTGCTAGTCGCGGCTGCCGACTTGCCGCCTCGGACACGGGGCCCCTCGGATCCTCGCTGTCCATCCCATCGGCCGGGCTCAGCAGGCTGGTAGTGCTCGGCTTGGGGTGCTCGTGCGAGCAGTACATGGCGTCGTGGGTCGGCCCCGTAAACCCGAGAATCTCGACCAGGAGCCGGTGGTATGTCTGCAGGCCGTGCATCATGAAGACCACGGCGTCGGAGAGAGAGGTATGGGTCCCGCCCGGTGGTGTAGCCAAGCCCGGGTGGATGTTCGCATCCTTGCTTGCCATCGACCCCACGACGCCCAATTGTCGGTACAGTTCCAGATTCAGGTTCGACAACTCCTGAGTTGATTCCTGGCGCATCGGCGGGAAGCGGCTGTAAGCATTGACTGTTGCCGTATCGACTGCCGTGCCTTCGTCGGTGAGAGTGGTGAGAGTTGGGATGGATTGGGCCAAGGACAGATCCAAGATTGGGTCGAGATAGTATTCTGGTGGCATATCCAACGACTCATCCTCGGGGGTGGTATCCTGGAGAGCAATGTCAAAGAACTCCAGATACTGCACGCCTTGCAGCGTTGGATCAGGCGTATCGTCGAGGTCATGCCCCGACCAAGTGTCGCCGTTCGGGGTGAAGCCCCCAGAGGCCGTGTGAGATGTACTGGGCAAAGTTGGTGAGCGTGTTGGTTGGGGTGGGTTGGGGCTAGCTGTGCTTCCCCGCTGGTCCTTGTCTGTTCTCTTGGGCCTGCCCATGCGCACCGATAAATCGATGATGCATGTTGCACCCGCTTTCTGACACCTCTCGCAAGGAGCCCTAAGGTTTGGGGATCGTATGCACCGCAGCTTCTGGCCCTTGCACCGGTCGCACGCCAGCTGATGGGGTCGTTCTCTTCTTGGAGGTTTTACAATTCCCGGCCCAGGTTTGAATTCCGAAAAGCAGCTGCCGGTGGAAGGGTCTGCACGCAGCATGCTTGGTGTGATAGAGTTCCGGAAGTAAGACGGGAGAAGACAGGACAGGTAATTGATTAAGTAACTTTTCTCTTTTCTCATCCTGGGGCCGTGCCCAAACCCCTTTAGCCTGCGGCGCTGTAAACCTGCGGCGCTGTCTGTGAGCCTGCGGCGCTGTCTGTAAGCCTGCAGCGCTGTGAGCCTGCGGCGCTGTTTGTAAGCCTGCAGCGCTGTTTGTAAGCCTGCAGCGCAGTAAGCCTGCGGCCGCTGTTCGGGCCCTAACTTTGCTCTATGTAGCTTTTCAGATTGTCCTGACTATCCTCCGCGCAGTTTTCGTCCGATACGTATGCAACTTCGTAAGGATACTGAAAACGCAGTTATTATATGGATTCCGGAATTTCGGAAGAAACGGAGCAAACGCTACAGTTTTATACTATTGCGAAATTCAAACGTTACATCGCGATCATTCGAATTGCGAAATCTACCAATCAGACGTTAGTTACTCTCGCCGTCGCATTAGCTAGCTAGTTGCCGGACGACATATTCTGCGCTAGGCATGAGCGTCCTGTTCTTGCTGGGAAAACTTACGGCCATCTAGTTCAGGGCCTCTGGGGCTCCTGATTCTCTGAATCCCATCGTAGACGCTCCAAATTAGGAGTAAATGTAAAATCTCTAAGATGAAGCAGAAGAAGATTATAACAGGTTTTTTGACTCGGGAGCCTGAGCTCTTATGATGTTCACTAGCCTGATGTTCGCTGGATAGAAGAGGCTTATTCTCCATGTCATTATTCTCCATAGCTTCAAATTGATAATAAGAGAACATATAATCTAGATAATCTTGTTCCAAAGAGTATTTGCGATATTTCGAAGCAAACTGACTGATACGTCGGGTTTCATTGATGTTCCACACGAGAAGAGAAAGGATGGGTCGGAACACGCCGATTGATGGCTCGGCACGTAAAAAGCAATATCTCGTTCCGCTACGGACGAACGATTTACAGAATGGGATTTTGTTGCAACACGGGCAGGGGATCCATGCTGATAAGTGCAGTTATATTTTTAGCCTCTTGCCCTTGTAGGGCTATTTGGGTAATTTACCCGAGGTGCGCTATGTACCACTTCCTTGCCAACAGCGGATAAAAACGGCCCAGCAATATAGCCAGTCAGGTGTAGAAGCTCCTTGTTTTGGAGCGTCGTCCAGCCTGCTCAGGTGGTTATCTGTGCATGAGATGTTGGTTCTCCTTGCAAATGTGTATTTTTGGTTCTCTGTGCATGAGATTTACAGTAAAACCTCGCTATAAGGATACTCGATATAAGAATATCCTCGATATAAGGATACTACCTTAGGATTCCAATAAAAATTAGCCCTGAGCTAAGGATATCCTCACTATAAGGATTATCCTTATGATTCTTTATCCCAGCCTTAATTTTTTGGTGTATTATCCTTATAATCGTGCACGTGATAGGCTAATTTACCGCTCCTGTCAGGCCTTCAGGCACCAGTAAAACCGCATTCTAAGCATTAATCTCACTGCTCCAGAGCCTTTACAGCCTATTACCCACCCACCCACTGATCCTATGGCCCGCCCACCGATTCTATGGCTCCCTAATAGCCTAAAAAGAGGCGCAGAGCGATAAAAATATTTGCACGTAATCCTCGATATAAGGATACCTCGCATTATCCTTAGTTTTTGGGGACAATTTCGGTATCCTTATAGCGAGGTTTACTGTATTAGGTCTCTACGCATAAAATGTTGGTTTTCTGTACATGTGAGTTTTTGGAGTATGCCAAGAACACGCGGTGGTTGATGTGTGACCCCCGATACACCAATACGAGCGACTTGGGAATCGGACGCTACGATTGGGTAATGGGAGGTCCTTTACGAATCGGGGACCCCGATTCCCAATCGCTCGATATTTGGGTATCGGAGTTGAAGGAGCTGAATTCCCCTTACTTACTAGCTTATTTAGCCCTATATTCTTTACTTTACCACACCTCATATTTTAATACTATAGGTTCTAGTTTAATTTATTAATTTAAGATATTAAAGGGAGTAATAATAGGGGTAATAGGGGTAAAGACACTTCTCCAGAGCTCCTAAATATGTATGGGGCCTCTGCTCCCTTACTACCTAGACACAGTTTATAGCACAAGCACCAACTTTCCAAGCATAACCACTGATTTTTTATACCTCTCAATTAATTACCTTACTTCCAATATATCTCTTTCAGCCCTTCGTTCATCCCCATCCCCACGTACACCTCGTCACTGACGTTGATAGGACCAATAGGAGCCTCCCCCGGCGGTCCCCACTGCGCTCCCGAGCTTTCCACCAACGGGCTGCCTTCCGTGGCGAGGTCCCGCCCTCCCCGCGAATCCCCTGTCGGCCAATCGACGCTGCAATGAAACACGGGTGCGGAGCATTTTTTGGAGCCTACGTTGTACAGCACGCCGCCCCGGCCCACGTTTGGCAGGGCGGAAGGGCGGAGTGACTTTCCCAACCCCACGGTCTGCAGCAGTGTGTCAAATGATTTAGCTTGATTTGATCATCGCCTCTACGAAGGCGCGCGGCTTTAAAAACCGTCCGTTAGAAAGCGTAGTGAGGCTAAAATAAGGTTTAAGCTAGCCCATATCCGGTATCGCTTCAGGCGCACCTTACGAAATCGGGTATCACGCCACTTGGTAAGCGAAGCGGCACGAGCCGAAGGCGCTAGAACCTACTCGATTTTCTAGTAATTCCTCGCCACCTTATAAATTATATTGTTATAAATAAAATAGCTAAGAATAAGCCGTCTTACAAATAAATGCTTTGAAATTAGGGGGCTATTACTAATCAGACACTTATTAAAGAATCTTCTAGATTCTAGAGGATTTATATATAAATAAGTGATTTCCCTCAAGTTACTTTCTTCTCTCCTTACTTCATATATAAATATCTCAATAACTATAGCTCCAATTAAGAAGCTTTCGACTATAAACCTACTTACATTTACTCGATGTATTCGAAAATATCTCAATAATAGTCTATTAACCTTAATATCCTTTAAAATAAGGAGGATTTTGAGCTAGAACCACTTTTAAGACAAGCTTTTATCTTTAAGCTTGGCTATATAAAAAAGACTCTAGACCCTCCTAAAGCTAATTCAGAGAACCTTAATAATTGTCGAACGGTTACTATATTATGCCTATTTAAGGGCTATAAGTAAGTAGTATATATTTTTAATTTAATTTAATTATAAAATAACTAATATATTTTTAGTAAAAAATTTATAAAGTAAAGAATCAGAAAACCGACAAGTAATTATAAGAGCCATTATCTTAATAATTATAAGTCAGTTAATATAAATGCTATATTAAGGGCAATAAGCTTTATAAGTAATTAATATTAATTTTTAAAATAATAATTAATAGTTTTTATAGCTATTTCTTAAAACTCAAATTAAATGTCTATTATTAAATCCTTTAGTAAAGCTACTAGTTAAACTAGTAAAGGCTTTACTATAGTTCACTTTAAAAGATTATTATTAGACTTTATAATTAATAATAATATTTCTTTTAAAGCTATTATTACTTCGAGCTTTAAAAAGCTATTTTAATATTTAAACTAGTAATTCTTATTTAAAAATTACTTATATTAATATATAACTAAATCTTTATATAATAAAGTATTGCCTTTATATTCTAAATTACTTATAAATAAGCTTACTTTAAAATATAATAATAATAATAATCTTATAAAAGAAGAATTATTAGATAATATCTTATTAAATAGTACTTTTTCTATTACTTTAGATACTTGAATAATTATAGATTAGAAGGCTTATTTGAGAATTATTATATAAGTTATTTTTATTATTAATATAGCTATTATTTCGGGAATTATATACTTAGTTACTATAATAGAAATTTGATTATTATATAGATTTCGGACTATATATAGGTATTAGATATATGGGTAAAGGTAAAGAGAATAGGAAGCTAAATAAGTAGAAGTAATAATCTTAAGACTCTTAATACTAGTAATAAAATAATACAAATAGTTAAATATAAGGGGCTTTCTAAAGATTAATATATTGAGAAAACTAATTATATATATAGATAGAAGTCTTATATAACTCCTTAAACTAGTACTAGTATATCTAGAAAGCAGAATATATAATAGCAGTTACGGAATAAGAGAGAAAAAACCCTATTATATAGCTTTCCTCTATTATTTGTAATTATTTCCTGATTATAGTAAAGAAAATACTAAGCCTATATAAGTATTAAATTTATTAGAATCTAGAAACTTAAAGAGTTTCTAAAGAAACCTATCGCCTATACTTTTAAGATTCTTCTTACTTCTTCTATTTCTCTATTTTCTTTTAAGAAAAGAATATAAATATAGTAATAATAGTTATAATAGAATTATATATATTTTTTATAATTAGTAGAAGCTTGTAATAAAAGAAAAAAGCTATATTCCAGTAGCTATAAAGAAATAATATTAGTTATATTCCTTCTAGTATTTGAAATATCTAATTCTTTTCTTCTTTTCTTCCTAAATAAATATTTAAATATAGTATTCTTATTTTCCGGTTCTTTATATATCCTTAATTTTCTTGTTTCCCTTTCTAAAGATACTATTATCTCTAATATAATAGAGCCAAATATCTTGCATTTTAGCCTTCCTCTTAGTTTTATTTAATATTTTATCTAATTCCCTTACTTCTTTTATAATAGTATTATCTTTATATAGATTATTCGTAAATTACCTTTATATAACTATTTCCAAAAGAGGAAAACCCTATAATAAATATTAAATAAATTTCTCTACTATAAAAAGGCCTTTTCTTCTTATTTCTAATAATTTCCTCCTTTTTCTAATAATAACCTTAACCTCCTTTATCCTTTATTTATATTCGGCCTTTATATTTATCTATTATTATATCTGTCTCTTCTAGTAATAACGGATTCTCAAAAGCTAATAAGATTAATAAATAAGCCTCTAGTTATATTTCTTATAATATAATATCTAATACCCTCTTTCTAATAATAATTAAA